ACTAATCATTCCTGTTATTGTTTATTAAATTCCAACTGTGAGCCAGGATCTGCATTGTTTTCATTTCAGACGTGTGATGCTATTTAAACTTCAACATATTATCGTTACTGCTTATTTTTTTTAATTTTTAAATTATATTTATGTACAGAAAACATAGCAGTGAACATTTAACCCAGTTTAGTGGTGAGTTCTCCAGCCTTTGGCTTTTCCAGGCTGGCCATGGGAGCCACAGATTTAGGACCCAGGACCTGGCCTCCCCAGTGGAGGCGGATCTCCTCGTATCTGTCGTAACTGGTCCTAATCAGCTTCCAGCAGCTTAGCCATAGCACCCTTGAGTTAACCTGTGTGAAGGCAGCAGTGGTGCAGGTCTTCCTGTGGACCAGCACCCCCACCTGGCCTCTCCCTTGATGACGCAGTAAGGACCCCATCTTTCCACACTGGGCAGGTAGGAAAACCACCAGCTCAATGGGGTCTACATCATGGGCAATCACCACCAGCTGAGCCTTCTTGTTCTCCACCAAGGTGGTGACTGTACTGACCCCTGCTCAAAGGAAAGGTGGCCTCTCAGTTGGGACTTCCCCTTTTCCAGCAGCTTTCTTCTCAGCACGGCCAGCAGCCTCTGCTTCCTCTCCTGCTTTGTTTCTGGCCTGTTCTTGTGGGCCAGCTTAAGCAGCTGGGTAGCTGTTTGCCAGTCCAGGGCCTGGGTAAACTCGTTAACTGCAGGAGATACTTTGGGCTGCTTATAAAGGATGGCCCATCACCGCAGCAGCCTGATGTAGCAGGACTATTTAACGAAGAATGTGAGATTTCTTTTGGGCTTGATATCCTGCCCAATGCAGAAGTTCTTGGGCTGTTGTTATAAATGAATGGAAATCCAAACCATTCTATTATACCAATAAAGACTCACGAGCCAGATGCTGGGGTGAAAACCTGCTAGCCTGCTAGAGGCAGAGAAAGCATCCAGCTGGCCTTCCTTCTCAGTTCATGTCCTGATGAAAAGAGCCCAAAAAGGCTCACTCTCTCAACTGACAGCCCAGGAGAAAAAGGCCAAAAACCCAAGGACAAAGACTTGCTTGCTCAAAGCTCTAAAGCCCAAGAATAGGGAGCCAAAGCCCCTTCTCCCTCTCTACCCTGTCTTAAATACCCCTCAACTCAAAGTCCCTCCTTCTCTTTAATCCCTGTCAGCTGGTTTCTTGCTCTGCCTCTTGACCTGGGGTTAATGTTATTAAATCCTGTCTGCAGAAAGCTCTTGGATTAAAGGTGGATGATAGGGCTCAACCACACCGAACAAGAAACAGGGTTTTACAATTCTCGGGGTTCACAATGGGATCAAATATCCTGCAACATTTGGGTCTTTTCTCATCAAAGAATTGTCCACCTTTTCAGTTCTTCATGACAATGGGGGCTTGGGGCCTCCTTCTTCTCCTTGGGCTTCTTTCCTTTGGGCGTCTTACTGGGCTAGAGGACAGTGTTATTACTTATTATTTTACAGGGTCTTGCTGTGTAGCCTAGACTACCCTCAAATTTAATTTCCTGATTCTGCCTAAGAACTGAGATAACAGGTAGGTAATCACCACTCCAACTAACACACTATTAACACTTTTTAGCTGATGAACTAAATATGGCTTGAGCAGGTGAACTACCCACTCCTGGAGCTCTCCCTAGTCAGTAGTCATTAGATACGACATGTTTCTAACCAACAGGTTTTCGTGCCACACTCCTCTATCAGGTGCAACGAAGATGCTGGAATCAAACTACACCTCAGTGTCTGAATTCATCTTCATCGGCTTCTCCAGCTTCCCACAGCAGCTCATGTCTGTCTTCTTCACGGTGTTCCTGCTGATGTACCTGTCCACTCTCATGAGCAACATGCTCATTGTGGCCACCATCTGGAGCGAGCGGAACCTCCACACTCCCATGTACCTCTTCCTGTGCGCTCTCTCCATCTCTGAGACCCTCTACACCTTGGCCTTCATCCCACGCATGCTGGCTGACCTGCTCTCCACCCACCGCTCCATCGCCTTCCTGGCCTGCGCCATCCAGATGTTCCTTTTCTTCATGTTTGGCTTCACCCACTCCTTGCTACTCACCATCATGGGCTATGACCGCTATGTGGCCATCTGTCACCCACTGCGCTACAATGTTCTCATGAGCCCCCGGGACTGCGCCTGCTTAGTGGCTGCAGCCTGGGCTGGCGGCTCAGCAGGTGGGTTGATTGTGACAACCCCCATTTTCCGCCTCCCTTTCTGTGGGCCCAATCAGATCCAGCATTTCTTTTGTCATTTGCCCCCAGTGTTGAAGTTGGCCTGTGGAAGTAGCGTGCCAGCTGTGACTCTGGGTGTGGGTTTGGTGTGTATGATAATCCTGCTTAGCTGTTGCTTCCTTGCCCTCCTCTCATATGCCTTCATCGTGGCCGCCATCTTGAAGATCCCATCAACTAAGGGGCGGCACAAGGCCTTCTCCACCTGTGCATCCCACCTCACAGTGGTGATTGTGCACTTTGGCTTTGCCTCCATCATCTACCTCAAGCCCAAGGGCCCCCAGTTTCAAAAAGGAGATACTCTGATGGCCACCACCTACACGGTCCTCACCCCCTTCCTCAGCCCCATCATCTTCAGTCTGAGGAACACAGAGCTGAAGAATGCCATGAAGAAGGCCTTCCTCAGGAAATTCTATTCTTCAAACAACTGAACAGCTAGTACAGAATGATTGGTAGGTGTGGAGCAAGGAGGGGCCACGCCCATCGCATTATAGATGCTCAGTCAATGTGTTATTTTTCTTCCTCCTTTAATCTATGGGTTCTCATTTAAGTGTTTCCTAAGATGTCAGATGTTCCTTGGGATACAGTTCATTTTTTGTGTGCTTAGCACGTCACAGTGCATATTACAATAGTTTCAGTATGTTTGGAAGTAGGCAATGATCACTATGCTGAACATTAGAAAACGTTTCATCACTCAGGAAAGAAAAATCTTCTATCACTTGCTCGATTTCTTTTTGGTGTGTATGTCTGTGTGTGGGTGTTTCTGTGTATAGATGGCTACATGTGTGTGCGCAGGTGCCCATGAACATATGTGAGGTGTATATGAAGACCAGATGTCAAAATGAGGTGTCTTGCTCAATTTTTTTCTACCTTTAATTATTTATCATTATTTTTTAACTGAAAAATATTTTTTATTGCCCAGCAGTTATGTGTGCCTATAATCACAGAACTTGGGGAGACAGAGGTAGGTAGGAGGATCTCTGTGAGTTCAAGGTCAGCCAGGTCTGCAAAGCAAATCCAAAACAGCCAAGGCTACACAGAGAAACCCTGTCTCAAACAAAAATTATTGCAATATATTCTGATTATAGCTTCCAACAACTCCTCCCAGATCTTCCCCATACACTCAAATCTATACCCTTTCTTTTTCTCTCTCTCATTAGGATAAAAACAGGCCTCTAAGCCAGTCGTGGTAGAGCACATGTTTAATCCTAGCATGCAGGAAGCAAAGGCAGGTGGATCTCTGCAAGTTTGAGGCCAGCCTATTCTATAAAGTTCTGGGATAGCCAAGGCTATCACAGAGAGAAACCTTTTCTCATAAAACCAAGCCAAAAAAAACAGGCATCTAAAATTAATAATAATAATAATAATAATAATAATAATAATAATAAAATTAGACAAAACAAAAACCAGCAAGAATAGCTCAAGATAAAAAGAGCCAAAGAAAAAGGTCAAGAAACACATCTAGACCCAGACCCACACACATTTGCATAAACAGAAACCCCATAAAAACACAAAACCAGAATTATAATGTATATTCAAAGGACCCATAAGGTTTAACAAATTAAAATAAAGCCATGACAAAACATTATGAGAGAAGAAACCTCCAAAAATGCCATTGAGTTAATCCTGTGTTGTCTGTCTACTGGCAGGTGAGGAGTTAAGAGTGGTTTGTATACCTGTTGAAGAAAGTAACTTTTCATTTGCAAGTACTTATTATCCGGAGATAGCCCCTGGGTTAGGGATGTGAGCCTGTGACCACTTCCTGTCTCAGTTCTGGGACCCCATCAGGCCCTGTCCTGATTTCATTGAACACAAAGAATACATGTACTGAAAAAAAAAATCAAGTATGTGTAACTCTTTGTCGATTAAACTGTACAAAAATAAAATTACGGAACAGAGAAATCTGAAAGTTGAAATTACAATCAAATGTGCACAGGCTGGAAGGGACAGGACACTTTCCTAATACGTGGGAGGCTGATTGCCAGTACTGCAGGAAAAACATGTGTCTTGCTAGGTTCCAAACCTGGGACAAACGGCTGAGATGCTATTTGACATACCAAAGTGAACCCTGGCCGCGGGGGCCTCCCCACATCCCTCAGCCTCTACCTGCTACAGGGCCCTTCTAGCTGACATGCCCCACCCCCACCCTAAACTTCTCCAGCTGTTCTTCCTTATATAACCGAACTGCTTTGGTTATCTGGCCCTTTGGTCCACTCTTTGGGCCTCCTGGCTGGTGCACCTGGTCTACCCCTCTCTGCCTTCATGGCTTCAGGTCACATCTACTCTGGACTCTCCCAGATGTCCCCGCCTCTCCCAGCTGCCTCTGTCTCTGGTTGTGCTCTCCCAGAATGTCTATAACAAACTTCCTCCTCCACCATACCTAGGAGCAGACATGGATCTTTCCTTTCCTTTTTATTTCGTTATTTCATTCATCTGGTGCCAAAACCCAGGAGTGGCATAACTGAGCTCCCTCCCCAAGGAACTCGCTCTGACCCAAGCTGCCCAGCTGAGTCTTCTAAGATATCATTTGTTTTTGCTGGCTTCTGCCACTCACAAAATTTGCTTCCAAATTATGGAGTTCAGTTCTTCAGCCGCTGCTTTCCTCTAGCTGCAGCCCTCATCTCTGGGCTCTGGCCTGCTATGTCCTCCGTGTGAGCATCTCCCTGGCTCCTGCAGCCTACTCTGCCCCTGGCTCACTGTACCCATGTGGATATCTCCCTGTTCTCCTGCTCTCTCCCCTCTCCTTTCCTACTGTTCTCACCTTTGCCAGGAGCTAAATTCCTATCTGTGGCAGCCTGGGACTCTTTTCCCTGCTTCCTCCCACTTGGAGCTCCATGTGCGTCTCACTTGCTCCTGGACCCTTCTATTAGACCCTTGGAACATCCACCACATGGGCAACTTTCTCTCTCGGCTCTGGGCTGCTATGACTGTCTGGGTGTGTGTATTAAAGACACTTACTGGCTCCCTTTCCTCCTGCAGTCCGTCTATGCCATCTCTTGTTTCAGCCTGCAGCCCCACACCGTCAGCAGTCAGCTCTCTCTTGAACCTTACAGGAACACCCCTATATACTGTTCTGTTTTGCAGTCCTCTTTCTCTTCCTCCACTGACTCAGATTTTGTGACAACAGCTTTGTCTCACTACAGATCAATGGGGTGGGGCACACTTGATTCCTAGTTTTCACAGATTGTAACAACTTCTGCCAGCAAATGATTCCAAATGTCTCTTATGTCTAAGGTTCTACAACTTTCCACTCCTAAATATTTATTTCTATGATTTCTCTGCACTCTGCTCTCAAAAATATCTCATAAGACTTTGCTGTATCTCTGTCTCGGGATTTGTAAGTTAATTGGGTGTGGTTAAAGAATCGATAATGTCTGTAACAGATTTTGCCTTAAAACTTACCACAAAAGGCTTATAATTAAAACTTATACATAGGCAAATTTAATTTGTTACAACAGATGATATATGTGATTCACCTCTTGCCTAGAATATACTGTATATGTACTATGTGTCGACTCCTGTTTAGGAGAAAATAGATGTTTTAAATAGCAACCATGGGGCACTCCTCCATCTTGGCTGATGACCTCATCAAGAGGTAAGCAGCCACATGGCTGGTGGCCATCTTTACTAGGTCAAAGAGTACAGGCCATGTGACTTCTCCGATATCTTAGTTTAAATGACCACATGGTATAAAACAACAATTACACAACTTCTCAGCCCTGCTGAGCTTTTCTTATCATTGTAGTTCCTTTTTAGACTAAGGAAACAACGGTAGGTTCTAAATATATTTTGGATTGATATAGATTTGTGCAAGTTGATTAAAAAATTTAAGGTCATAAAGCAAACAAAAGCTGACATAGAGATTTACACCTAACTGCTTATGTCTTTGCTAATCGTTCAACATCAGGCATGTTTGAGAAATAATATTTATAAATTCCTAAGGTCTACTCAAGTTCATAGAAATGTTTGTGTAGTTTCTCTGTCTCTGCTCACTTTGTGAAACTTTAACCTATTTGGATAACTTGAGTCATACAAGAAACTGTAATATTCTATAATGGTGCACTATAAAAGGAAGTTTTCTACAGTTGTGATTTATTTTGATGCTAAAGGTCTTCAACTAAATCTTCAACTCAAAATTTAAGGCTCAAACTTACCAGGGATAAAGCTGTAATATCCAAGTCTTATAAAAGCTGCCAACTTAAACCATTAAAGATAATTAAGACGTGTAATAAATGTGTTTTCAAAATTAAGCCTAAGGCAAATAAATAAGGTATACTTAACAGATAACGGTTCCCACTCTGTAGATCTTTTCAGAGATCTGCTGAATATGGCATTTACAATGTTTAGCGGGAAAAGCTTGCTGTGAGAGACAAAGGCCCCAGCTCCTAGATGTGACCCCAAGGTTTCAATAGAAGATGATGGGCACAGAAGAATTCCACCTGGAGCTTGCTTTAAATGTGGCAAAGATGTCCATGGAGCGGAGAACTGCCCTTCCCCTCACCTGCCGACTGTGGACAAGCGGGATACTCCGAGCGACACTCCAAAGTTGATGGCCCTGCTTTGCCTAGATGAGATAAGCCCCAAGTTCTTTCTCCACAGGACCATCTGCCAGATCCCCTGGGTCTGGCTGCCAAAGGCTGATGCTGTCCTGCAACCTCTGGGCCCGGTGAAATCAAGATTACCATCGAGGAGCTGTAGTGCTTGTCCAGACAGCTGGTAAGTCTCGGTCGGTCATTTCTAATAGGTCTGGGAGTGCTTGCTTTGTACTTCCTAACTTACTCCAGTGACATTTATCTGTTAGGGTTTCTTTTAAAATGATGTCGTTCACACAACAGGTATTATATGAAAGAGATTTATTGGATGGAGGTGGAGAGATAGGAAAAGGAAAGAGAGAGACGTGGTAGGGGACCCCAGGAAAGAAAGGGAGGCAGAGACAGCAAGAAAGGAGAGTAAGAGACAGGCAAAGTGACGGCTGGTCCTCTTCATAGCTTGTGCGCGTTTGTCACACACCTGGTAGGCGATATATGATGACATCATAGGTTGCTAGGCAGCCAAGAAGCAGGCTGCCTATACGCTAACCTTATCCTTCTCAGATCTCTGATGGTGTTTGATAGCTTTGTCAGTTTAACAGCAGAAACCAGGTCTTCAGCTGCCTTCTCAGTTTTCTTCATGTGTAAATATCAGGTTTCAGGCTTCACTTACCTAGAGCTTCTAGGCCTCCAGCTGAGAAAAACAGTTTACTTTTTTACCAGACTCTAGAAAAGAGATAAACTCAAAAGACAGGTTTTCAAGTAACTTTTTACTATTCCTTGATTTAAAGAAACTTGCTTTTTAGTGACTGCTTTCAATTATTATTACCCGTGTCTCACGGTAACTGAATTTTTTTTTTTAAATGTTTAGGTTTTATGTAAGTTCTAAAGTTCTAGAAAGG